CCTTGAAGTTTGTAGAGGTTTCAGTCCAGGGTTGGCTGGCTCTCAGGTAGTGTGGCCTGGCAGAGGGTCATCACAGAGGAGAAATACTCCTGGCAAAGCAGGCAAGAGGCAGCAAGGCATCAAGAAGTAACCAGCCTGCCTTTCCCTCTTATCCCATCCTGGCTTCCAGTGTTTTGGATGATGCCACCCAGAACTGTGCTAGTTCCAATCAACAGGCTGATTTTATGCCACATCCCCTTAATCTCAGCATCACACACCCTAGAACCAGCCAACTCTGAAAGCCCCATCTATGTGTGCATGAGGCTTTAGGGGGACACCTGGACACAAGCCACAGCACATATTGATTCTGTTCTGCTAGTGAACACTAATAATGCAGAAGCTTCTATACCCTCATCAGTATAAAAAGGAGAGAGGTGACACCTAGACCGCACTGCCATCACCTTGACCTTCTTGACTTCCAAAGCAGATTCCATCCAGTGTAGAAGACACTCTCCCAAATGCCTAGGAAACACCTTACAAGGTTAAAAAAAATTTTTAAAGATTTAAAAAATTTTTAAAGACTCAAGTTCCATAGTAGATAAGAAAGAAGTTAAAGCAGAAATCAGCCCCAGAAAAATACCTGAAAATTTCTTAATATTTAGAATTTAGAACACTTCTTTTTAACCTATGTGTTAAAGAATAAACCTCAAGAAAACTTAGAAATATTTTGCATGAAATTACAATGAAAATAATTGAACTTATGAGATATAGTTAAAACAGTGCTTTTAGCATAAAATGCATGTAGCATTGCATGCATGTTTTAGACAAGAAAGATCTAAAGTTTACTTCAGCCTCTATCTTAGGAAACTAGGAAAATAAGAACAAAACAGTGTTAAATGAAGGAAATAAAATTAGAGAAAATATCAATAATATCAAAAACAGGAAATAAGAGAGAAAAATGAACAAAACCACATGTAAGGTTTTTTTTTTTAAGATTTAAAAAGAAAAATGAGTAACCCTTGAGAGATAGGTCTAGTTAGTGACCGCCAACTGGCTAATGAAACAGGCAAGGGGCGGGTCCTCTGCACTGGGTGGGCTCTGTAGATGAAAGTGCAAGAGATGGGCTGACTAGCTCCTGAGGCCTCCAGCTACCACAGCGCCAGGCCAGTGGAGGGTGGGCATGACTGTGCCTGGCACGCCTGGCTGCCCCTCTTCCTGCACGGGACCCGCAGGCCTGAAGAACACAGTGCCGCCCTACAGCGTTCGAGCTTTCTGTGCGGGGCTGCACAGGTGCTCAGGACTGGGATGCTCATGCTGCAGCCCCACACCCTGAGGCCCTTTGCCTGCTTGGGATTCTCTCGTGGCTTTCTCAGGAGTTAAGCGTGGGGAAGGCTCCTCCGTGCTGGGACTGATGCTGTGTCTCATCAGCAACAAGCTGCTCGCCTTCCGGAAAGGGGGCATCAGCAGGCTGCTGGGGACTCAGTATCACTGTCCCTGAGATCAAGGTGAAGGAACTGTGGACTCTGGTGTCCCCAAATGCCCTGGCACAGCACCCTTGCGACCTAATCTCATGACTGTTTGACGTGGGTCATCACCCTGGACAGCAGTGTGGTAAGAAATGCAAAAGGAGACCAGGTGCCTGCACTGCCAGCACTTGGGAGGCCAAGGTCAAGGCCGGCCTAGACCACTCAGTGAGACCTCATCTCAGAAAACCTTTGGAAGTGACAGATAGGGAGCTCTCTGCTGCACAGTACCTGTAAACACATTATCCAAGTGGCCAGTACACAGCAGGTGGGGGGTGTTGAGCACCTTTGATTCTTTGTTCTCAGGGCCCTTAAGATGGGAGCAGGATGGTCCCCAGCTGCAGATGAGGAAGCCAAGTGTGGAGGTTTGGAAGGCGGACACCAGTTGCCGCACTTCCTTATGCAGAAATTCCCAAGAAAGAAGCAGGAAAGCAGTCAGCGCCAATTGCTGAAAGCTGGGGGAAGCTTCCCAAACCTGCCCGAGACCATCTGGGCCATGGAGAGGTTCCAGTGGTGGGCGCTCTGGGGCTCCCATGCAAGGGCAGGCAAGGGCCACAGCAGGGCCACTAGGGCTCTACTGGGCACAGAAGGGCCTGTCTGCTGCTCACAAGGCCACACCCTGTCACCTGGCACTTTTCCTTCTCGTCAGCAGCTAACTCACAGGCTGACAGCAAGAGCTTGACTGGTTAGGGCTACGTCAGCCAGGACTCCTGCAGCCAGGGCCCAGGGCCACTGCTATACAGCAAGCAGTGTCCTCAGACAGGGACCTTCAGACCAGATGAAGGGATCTTTGCTTCCCTGACGGGATTCTACTGCTTGGCCCAACATCCCCTCACCCCAAGCTCACCTCCCAGGCAGTTTCCTTTAACAACAGCATGGTGGGGATCTGCGGTTCTGGGGGTGGGGTGGGAGCCGCTGCCTCCTGCCATGACCTGTGCCACTCTCGCCGCCCAAATGATCAAGGATTCTAGGGTGGATCTTCTTTCTAGGCGCACTTTGGATTTTTAATGAACACCTAGTGGTTGAACATCCTCTGTGACATGGGATGACACTTCTGCCCCTGTACACAACATGTGATGACCAGATCAGGATGCCTGGCAGACCCACCACCCCAAATGTCACCCTGTCTTTGGTTGTTTTCCAAATAGCTGTAGAGGGAAGTTAATCTTTCCCACCATCTCCAGGGCTGTTCCTGCTCTGTTCTGGTCCTCATGCCCCCAGGAGAGTCACAGGGGATACATGGCTGTGTTTAATGTGAGTATGCCTGTGGTCGGGTTAACACCATCATAAATATTCATGAGTGCTTGGGGAGAAAGCATGCCTGGCCTTGTCTGTAGCCAGTCGAAGCTGAGTTCCAGAAATAGGACATCCTTGGCTGCAGTCTGGATGGAAGTCATGCCAGCTCTCCCCTGAAGACACAGTGCAGGCCCCGCCTCTCTGCCTGGACATGGGTTTGGTCCGACGGGAGCAGAGCTGGTAGCTGGCAGCTGGTGTCTCATCGGCTCTGTCTTAGGGCTGTGTTATGCATGCTAGTACTCTATTGCTTCCTCTGTAAACTGCTACTCAGACCTCACCCATGGGGTTCGGATTTACTGCCTGCAAAGGCTTCTGAACTCCAGCCACTCCTCAACAGGGTGCCAAACCCACAACACAAGTGGCTCTCCGGTCCTTAGCGCTGGCCCTGGGCCCACACAAAACACTGCCCTCAAGTTCTCCGCCTCCACCCCTGCCTGTGCAGCACAGAGCTCCACTGAGGCAGTCAGACTTGGTCACTCGGGGGTTTTGAGTCTCTCTTTCCTAAGTGACCCTTTTTGTTCCTCCTGGCCATTTCCGAGTGCCCACCTTGGACGCTGGGCACAGAAACACTGGCGAGGTGCTGGCAGCTCTGTGCTGGGGATCTCTTCTGTTGTCTTCATTTCTCCTGATAGAAACTTAAGCTTCTAAACTGCACAGTTTAGGGCGAGGCTAAACAAAGGCTTAGCTTTCTGTGGCTTCCCTTTGACTGCCCTCTCACTATGCACTGGTGCCACTATTCTCTGCTGTAGCTCAGCACCCTCTGCACCGGGCTGGTCCTTGCAGCTCTGCTGTCAGGGCAGCTAACGCAGGACTGAGGGTGCAGCCTGTGTGTGACAGGTCAGATGCATGACTACTGTCCAAGCCAGCTGGGAGCTGAATCTGGTCTCCACCCCAGGACTGGCTCACACGTGACCCACGGGAAGAACCATGGAAACTGAACACTATGTGCTCCCCCACTGGCTTCCAACAGGTCCCACAGCCTCCTGGGCACACACAGCTACTCAAGGGCAGAGTCCACTGCGAGGGCACCCCCAGGGATGAGCGGGACAGGAGGAGACAAGTGGGACTGGCAAGTGGGACTGTCGCTCAGAGGGAAAAGTGTCCTCATCAGCCTGGAGGCTTCTGTCCCAGGGGGGCTCCCTGCTCCACCTGTCCTCCAGCACAGTCCAGGGTTGATGGAGACTCAGGTGGCAGCAAAGCCTTGTTCACTCTCTCTGCGCCCACACCCTGGCGGTCACACTGGGGTACGCTGCAGGGCAGTGGGCTGGGAGGCTGCGGATGAGATGGAACTCAGTGGAATTAACCAATTACCATGGCCCCTCATTGGCTGCTTTGTCTAAACATCCATGGGCACCTAGACTCAGGGCAGAGACAAACCTGGGGTGGCACAGAGCAGAGCCTGGCCTACGAGACAGAAAGTTAGGGGTGAGGCAGGAGGCCACAGCAGGCGGGATGGTGCCCAGCACTCTGAGGAGCCCCAGGCTGGTTTGAACAGGCCAGGGAACCCAGTTCTCTGTGTGCACAATGTGGTGACCCCCACATTGGCCACAGGATGCATAGATGTCAGGAGGACTACAAGAGTGGGTTACCGCTGTACCCTCAGCCTTCACAGCACCCTTCAGAATTCTCATAGAAGATGCGCTGGCTCTCCTGGGCCACACCTGCCACCCAGGGACGTGGCAGCCACAGGTGTGATGCAGCTGGTCTCACTGGGGTGCAGCAGGATGGGGAGAATGGGCCAGAAACGCGGTCTGAGGTCAACTGCAAAACCCCACATCAGATCAACGTCCACCTCACAGCCCCAAGACGCCCACTCATAAACCCACAGTCCTCCTGTGTGGCCAGGCTCTCAGGTGGGGTTAATGTACCCAAGAAGGAATCTCACCAGCCAAAGCCATGGCAGTGCTATAGCCCCCTTACAGCCAACACCCAATGAGCAGCCTCGGGCCCTGGCTTCCAGTCTGGGAAACCAGCCCCGTTCTTGCCTCTCCTTGTCACAGAGACTGGCAGGGTAGGTACATGCTTGCTGCAAAGATGGCCACTGTCACACAGATGGCAGCCCCACCCTCACCCATGCCATCTCCCGGGTCCTGCCCCCTAAGATGTCCCCCCTTGGCCAGTTAGGCTGGAGGGGCACGGGTGACCCCACACTGAAGGCTCACCCACTCTTCACTGTCCTTTCTTCTTCTCCTTCATCTGCAGACAAACAAGGCTGTGGCACAGGGCGACTTCCACCAGGCCAGTGCCAGCTCCCGGCGCGCCCTCTTCCTGGCTGTGCTATCCATCACCATCGGCACGGGCATCTATGTGGGTGTGGCTGTTGCCCTCATCGCCTACCTCTCCAAGAACAACCATCTGTGAGCTTCCACGGGCTCAAGAGCGACCACATTGGGCGGGTCAGGCCAGGGTGGACTATACTGCTGCCCGGAGGATCCACCTCGATCCGTGTCCTCCTTTAAAACCTTCATCATCACAGCACTGAGTGGGCTCCACACACTGGGCTTAGAGCCCAGGCTCGGGGCTGTCTGGAATGAATCCAGGTCACGGATCACAGCGCACAATTAGCGCAGCTCTGCCATGCCTCGAAGGCCACCGCATTAGCAATATACAAACAGTTAAAAAAAAAAAAAAAGTATTTATTTTTATGGAACATGGTTAAGGTGCAATAGGCTGAGGGCAGGGGACACCCGCTTTGCTGTCGGTGGCTGCCTGGCTTCTCCATGTCTCCAGCATCCACGCAACATCCTTCCCAGAGAAAAAGGCTGTGGGCCTGGGAACAAGGAGCACAGAACGTGTGCAGGGTACCTGTGTCCTCTGCAGAAGGTGGAGCCCCAGGACGAGAAGCCAGAAAGACGCAGTACTGTCCCAGGCCCCTCCTGCCCTCCAGGCCACCATCAGGCAGGTGGCACAGTGGACACCCAGGCTTCTTGAAAATGGCCCCACAATGGTATCAGGAACCAGAGGCAGAGGACCAGGAAGACCCTGGTGCCCTGAATGATGGCCCTAGAGGGGCTTGCCCGGTCCTAGGCAGTAACAACGATGCCGACCCTGGACACGGTCAGGCCTTATTCTGCTGACTCAATGAATTGCTATTTTCTTGTCATTTTTTTAAATGCAACTCTTGCTTCACACTGCTTCAGTTACCAGACGAATGCTGAGAAATAAGTCACCACAGACATCTTAACACCATCTCACAGCTGTTTTACGGTGTTCATTATTTAACAAAAGTTATCTTTTAGCTTGTTTGTGCGTGGCTTTTCTTTCTGGTGCACAGTGGTGGTGAGGTTCCTTTCTACCAGGTCCCAGGAGAGAATCCTGCCAGTCCTGGCTGCTTCCACACCACCCTACGTTACTGTCACCCTAGTCCCCTCATAAGGGAGAAGCCCTGGCTCCAGGGAGGGTCTCCAAGAGGCACCTGAAACTTCCTTCCACCTGGACTCTAGCACCCAACCCAGAGGCCCTGGCAATGGGTTGGATGCAGCCTGGGGAATCCAGAGTGCTGCAAAGGTGAGACCCCACCATCACTATCCTGACCCAGGACCATGGATCAGATATCCCCACCTGCTACCCTTGCCTTACCCTAGCACACTTGATATTGTAGAAGCTGTTAGCACCCACCTCCTGGGTCAGATCCCAGCTCCCCCTCACATTTGTCATCCAGAAAGACCTTCTAAGTCCTCCCAGTAAAGGCCACCTAGAAGCCCAGGCACCCCAGATATCCCAGGTAAACACCCAGCTTGACAGAGGAGAAGGTTGTTTTAGTTCACGTTTATAGAAACCTCAGCTGGCTCCAAGTCAGGATGGCAGAGGGGTCCGGCAGAGGAGAAGCTACTTGGGTGGGGTGGCCAGGAGCAGAGAGCAGAGGGAGGGAGATGCATGCATCCAGGCTGCGCCCCAGGGACCACCCCTTGTAGCCAGACTCTACTCCGGACACAAATCAGCTATGACCCCCAGTCTCCAGTCAGGTTTTCAAAGTCCCACCTCTTAGCACGTGCATCTTTGGGTACAGTCTCGACCCAAACCATAATGCCAGGAGAGCCAGAGGTCCTGTCCAAGACCATGAGTGTGTGCCTGAACCAAGCTGGAGTTGAATCCAGTGTGCCTTTTCCTAGCTGTGTGGTCTTGGAAGAGGGCCTGTACCTCTCCAGTCTCATTCCGGGTCAGGCAATCAGTGGGTTCCGCATGCAGGACTTCTGGGGATGCCCAGACTCAGGCCTGGGGCTGAGTGCCCAGAAGGACAGGTGCGCATAGATGAAGTGTTCTTGGGAGGCTATGCATGGCTCGCTCCTGTCCTTCCATCTTTCCTCTTAAACTCTTAGGGTTTAGCCTTCGTGGACTGATGTACAAACTGAGCCTCTCTGAGTAGTGATCAACTCTGTCCTGAGATGATGCATTGCAGCTGGGTTTACAGTCCATTGCTGCAGCTTTGTGGCTTTGGCACTGAGTAGAAAGCACCACAGTGCACCCCACCTGGGGAGGGCCTCACCTGCAGCAGTGGGTCTCTGAGGCTCCAGCTGCCTGGTTGCTCAGTGTCCCACTGTGCAGTTCAGCACAGGCAGCACCTGTTGACCCATGCATTACCTCAGAACCCAAGTCTGGGGAGGCACCATGCTAGCTCCATCCTCCACGTGTTGGGGTCAGAGCAACCAGAGGAGTGCAAGGTTGGCTGTGACATCCCCACCTGTGGCCTCCAGAAAGCTGTTTCTTAGGCTTCAGAATTTGGCTGCCCAAGGCCAGGGATGGCCCTGCCCCCCTGCATTCCTGGTCTAAAGGTTCTGCTCCTCCTTGTTCAGTGGAGGAGGCCAAATCTGCAGGTACGTGGGCCTGACACAGTTGCCACCTGGTGCCACAAACTTGTAGCTTGAGGTGTGAACCTGTCGGCCCACTAAGCACCCTGAAGGGATGGTGCTCACATGGGCCAGGGCAGCAAGGATAGCAGATGCATTGCAGGTGCTGTGAGGGTCAGCCTTGTAGGGCTGGTAGCCACACACCCCACAGGGACAATGGGTGGGGCACAGCCACTGTGGTTACAGAGACAGAAGGCTCTGGGATGCAGGGAACCTGGGGACTGTGAAAGTTTCCCCAAATCCAAGGAGGAACAGAAGGTGCTAGAACAGACAGGGGCAAGGAACTGTCTTTGGGGGCTCAGGGAGGACCTCCAGAATGGCGCTGAGAGTGGTGGATTTGGGTGGATTTCTTTTACTTCCAAAGCCACTCTTATACCTGGATGCTTTGGTTTGTATCTGAAAACCCATGGGGCCAGTAGGTTTCTTGAAGAAGCCTCTGGAAGGCCAGGGGACAGAGAGGTGTAGACAGGGCTGAGTCTTTGATATCAGGGTCACTCTCAGACCATTTCTCATATGAACTGTCATCAGTCCATGGCCACTGTCAGAGCCATGCTTGCTGGAGGCTTAGGCAGAGGAAGAGCTTCACAGTGGGGTGACACCAGCCTAGCAGGACAGCACAGGTACAAACACGCAAACTGGGTACAGCTGTCACAGAAGTGTGCATTCAGTCAGGGCACAGGCCACTGTCATCCAGGGGCCTGCTCTTAGGGCTGGACAGGTAACCATGAAACAGACCTGACCTCTCCAGCCCTGCGCTGACCCTCAGTCTCTCTACAGACTGAATCTGGCTTTGTTCACAGATGCAGTGAGCCCACACTGCTGGTGCCCTGGGGTCACCTGTCTGTCCCACTCATTCAGCTCCTACAAGACACAGAGATCCCCAACACCACCCAGTCCTGGATGGTGGTCCCACTTCCCCAGGGCGGTCACTCAGCAGCCACAAAGGTCTCATTGCTCACTCTCATGGGTAAGACAAGCATTCGCCTCTGATGGCCACCAGGATCACCATGAAAGGAGTACAGCTCAGAGCCAGCCTTGCAGTCCCAAGTCATGGACATCATTCTCACATTCACCAAAGGGAACCACAGTGATGGCCCTCGCAGGGCAAGTAGACAGTGAGGTGGCTGCCAATGGCCCAGCTCTCTATGGATGTTGTCTGCGTCATCTGCAGGTAGCTGCACTCCTGAGGGAACACCACAGCCGGTGGGAGGGGGCTGTCCCAAGTCACACAACTGATGGAACCAGAGCTGGGCCTCTGCTCTTCGTGGATCCAAAGCAAGTGCTTACTGGCTACAGCCACAGTGTAGGCTTCTCGGTGTAATTCAACCTTGCCACTGCTTACCACTGTTCACCGCTCCACGTGGAGGGGCAGCTCTGGTTCTCTGCAGGTGTCACAGGTTCGGTCCAAAGCCAGGTGCAAGGAGGCCTGGCCTCATTCCTCCTTGGCCCCACACTAGGCTTTCCGCACCTCTCCTCTCACATGGAGAAAGTGGATCAGATTTCACTTCAACAGGGAACATCCACAGGAAAGTGGGACAGGCCGTTGCAAGTCTAGCAGGCAGCAGCACACTTGGTGTTGAGACAGGACCATCATATGCCCCTCCCTGAAATGCTACCACCACCTGCCAGGGGAGGTGGGGCTTCATAATCTCCATTTTATGACCAAGAAACTGAGGCTTCTTCGGCCAGCACTTTTCTTGGGTGGCAGAACAGGTCCACACAGTCCCAGCAGGAAACCACCCCCACCCCACTGGCACTGCTGCCTGTGTCAGACAGAGAGGAAGACCTGGGCTCCTGTGCCAGCCAGTGCAAGGCAAAAGAACAAACTGCAGAGATACACGAGAAAGGGACAGTCTCTGCGTCCTCCTGGGATCTCCTGAGACCATGACAGTGGTGCAGACCTCAGCTGAGACAACAGAAGCTCATTTCCCCTCCTGGAGCCCCATCAAGGTGACACAATGGGGTCCCAAGGGTCTCTCTCATATATAGCCACGTCCTCTATATCTGCCCAGCTGGACACAGCAGTGGGGTGAGCAGAAAGGAGGGCTGGAAAGATGGTGCTGTTGTGTGTTGTGCTGAGGGGGAAGCTCAGAAATACCCTGCAGTCAATCGTGCAGCCTGCTGAGATACTCCACGCGCCTAAGGGAAGAGCCCCAGGGTCTGATGCTAGCCTCTGAGCTGCAGCCCTGGTCTCCCAGGCAGGCCACAGCCAGTGAGCAGCCTCAGCACCTGGCCACTGTCCCAAGCAGGCTTCTCCCTGGCAGAAACCCCACAGCCCCTGAGCTGCCACTTCTGGGAGCTCCTGCTGCCCATCTGACTCCTTGCTGCTAGCTCACCAGCTTCTCTCTCACTCTGTCCCCTCCCTCAGTGCCGCTGCCTGAGAACCCAGCCTGCTGCAACCCCAGTGGAACTTGGGAAGAAGACTCCAAGCTGAGCACAATGGGGCTCTGTCTTGGTTACTTTTCTCTCTTGCTCAGACAAAAGCTCAATGCCCAAAATGAATGAAGGAAAGGTTTATTTACCTCACAGTTTGTGGAAGTTTCAGTCCATGCTCAGCTGGCTCCAAGGCAGGGTGATGTGGCACAGGGGCAACCCCTCAAGTTGGCAAAAGACAGCAAAAGAAACAAAAGCAAAAAGGGGGGAAAAGCAAGCCTCTTTTCCTCCCTTATATTGTAAGCAGGCTACCCAGATGGCAGGGCAGATGTAGCACCCACACCATCTCAAAGCTCTCCTCTTGTACAGGATGAGGATGTTTCCAAATTGAGGACCCTGGCCCCCTGCTGAGTCCCTTAGTTAAACTTCTGATCTTGTCAAACAATATCCTAGAGGGGTAACCGCATGTCCTCTACACCCCAGGCTGGAGAGCTGCTGAGTTACTTAGACTTCTAGACTTCTCAACCTGATACAATGTATCAACCATAATAGGCTCAAAGACAGTGCTAGATACCAGGATCCCTGAGCAGCTGCAGGCAGGCCCAGAGACTCAGCACTGAGACCCACTGTCCGGCTACTGGGCTCCCACCATCCTGCAGCGCCCCCTGCAGGTCCCCCAGCTCTCTAAGCTTCTCAGCAGAGGCCCATGGAGCAGGCACAGGGTTGATTATTTCTAGCACTCAATGTGAAGCAACACAGAGAAAATGACAGAGATAAGGAGACAAAGGAGGAGGCCTTTAATGTGGGCATGGCAGAGCTTCTTGGGGCAGCAGGTACAGAGGCTCTCAAATGAGAACAAAGAAGTGGGACTACTTTTATCAGTTTTGGCTGGGGGAAGAGTTTGGGAGGTGGGCAAAATGACATTAACTGTTGACGTGAAGGAGCATCTGCCTGTGTAACACAGGAGACAGAAAGATTTAATGAGGGCTGGAGGTGGAGGCTTGGGTGTTTGTGGAGT